GAAGTCAGGAAGTACTGTGACTTGATGGCGTTTCTTGGATGATATGAGATATCGTGCTCACTGAGCTCATGGCCCATCGGGCGAGTCTGCCTGATAACTCAGGCTTGTGCAGGATACTTCTCGAACGGGGAAGGTCGTCACTACCGTTTATGGGGGTGGCATTGGAAATAGGGTCGGAGCTTCCGTGAAGCTACGACCAATGCCAAAGCTAATTTTTCAAGGTGTGGATACCGTGTTTCGGCGTCCACTAAGGTTTTGCTAATATAGTAAATAGGAAATTGCGTACCTTCATTTTCACAAACTAGGACTGCGCTGACGGCGACCTCTGATACGGCCAAATATACCAGCAGTGGCTCGCCTGGATTTGCTTTGGCTAGCAGTGGCGGTGAAGATAGGTACACTTTCAATTTCCTTAGGGCCTCGATGCATTCCTCCTTCCACTGTAATCCTTTGTCCTTTCTCAGCACATTAAAAAACTTATGGCATCTGTCGGAGGACCGTGAGATGAACCTAGACAATGCGGCTATTCGCCCCGTCAACTTTTGCACCTGCTTTTTGCTATTCAGTATCTCGGGTATCGCGTCTATCGCCTTGATCTGATCTGGATTGACTTCGATACCTCGTTGTGATACGAGAAACCCTAAGAATTTTCCTGATGCCACGCCGAAGGCGCATTTCTCGGGGTTCAGTTTCATCCCGTATCTTCTCAATATCTCGAAGGTTTCTTTCAGATGGTCAATGTGGTCCTCTTTTCTTGCCGACTTTACCAGCATGTCGTCGATATAGACTTCCATAGTCTTACCGAGCTGCTCTTTGAACATTCTGGTGACCAGTCTCTGGTACGTAGCCCCTGCATTCTTGAGCCCGAAGGGCATTACCTTGTAGCAGTAAGTCCCTTGGTGGGTGATGAAAGTTGTCTTCTCTTGGTCCTCCTCGGCCATCATGATTTGATTGTAGCCGGAGTAGGCGTCTAGGAAGCTCAGTAGTTCATGTCCTGCAGTGACGTTGATCAGTTGGTCGATGTGGGGTAGTGGGAATGAATCATTTAGGCATGCCTTGTTCAGATCAGTGAAATCCACGCACATTCTCCACTTCCCGTTTTTCTTTTTGACCATGACAACATTGGTGACCCACTCGGGGTACTTTGATTCTCTGATGGAGCCGTTGGCCAGTAGCTCGTCTACTTCTTTACTGACCGCTTCATTGATAGCAGCGTTGAATTTTCTCCTCATCTGTCGCACAGGCGGATGTAGTGGATCGACATTCAGCTTGTGGGTGGCGATGTCTCGCGGGATTCCCAGCATATCTGAATGGGAAAAGGCGAAAAAATCTGCATGGTTAGTTAAGAATTCACAATACATACTTGGGTTGGCGAGACCTTGCCCGATATAGGCTTTCTTCGTAAGATCGGTTTCGTCCAATTGGACTGGGTCGAGATCTTCGACCGTTGCCTTACAGGCTTCCACGACGTCGGGGTCTTTGATGGCGTCTATTGTCGGGTTGACCTTAGTCCCCGACACGGCTAATTGCTATGCTTCCGCGCTCGCCCCCTTCAGCTGTTGGGTGAGGGTTGACCTTAGTCCCCGACAAGGCTAATTGCTATGCTTCCGCGCTCGCCCCCTTCAGCTGTTGGGTGTGGGCGCAATCTTGGGCTATTTTGTAGCATTCTTGTGCAGTGCGTGGCTCGCCTCGAATACTGAATATTCCCCATGGGGTAGGGAATTTGATCACTTGGTAGAGGCTTGAAGGGACCGCTCGCATGGCGTGTATCCACGGGCGTCCTATGATGACGTTGTACGCCGTTTCTTGGTTCATCACGTGGAAGGTTGTTTCCAGCGTGACTCCTCCCGCTAAGACGGGTAGTGCTATTTCTCCGGACGTCCGTTCCACTGCATTGTTAAAACAGGTTAGTGTTATGCAGCACGGTATTACCCTATCCTCGAGTCCCATTTGTACGAGGACCCTTGGGTGGATAATACAGGCGCCACTTCCGTCATCAATCATGACTCTTTTAACATCCGTATCAGCGATACGTAAAGTGATAACTAAAGCATCATAATGAGGGAAAGACAAACCGTCGGCATCAGACTTATCGAAGGTGATACTGTCTTCGAAGTCGTCATACCGTTCATGGGCGATGGTCCGCTTTAGTCTGTGTGTGGTGGCGAGCTTGACGTGATTGATCACTGACTCGTCGCCGCCTCCGACGATCATGTTTATCATGCGCGCTGGGGAAGGTGGCTTCGGTGGCCCGTGGGACTGTTCCCGTCCGCGTGCGAAGTTGATTTTCCCTTTGTCACTGAGTAACTCCCTCAGGTATCCCTGGTTCAGCATCCTGACCACCTCTTGCCGTAGGCCTATGCAGTCTTCGGTTTTGTGTCCTTGTTCCTGATGGAACTCACATAGGGCATTTGATTTCCTTGTGGCAGGGTCTGATTTCATCTTCTGCGACCAATGCACCTTGGTGCCCAGCTTCTCCAGTGCGTACACTATTTCTGAAGGAGATACACAAAAGTTATGGGCGGTTAATAAAGGGGGCGTACCTCTTTCGTTTCGGAGTGGGGCGACGTGTCGCTGTAGCACGTTTGTATGCCTTGATGGCGGATGGGAGGATCTGGTGTATGGCTGATGTCGATCTCTGTTGGAGCGGGGGAGTTGTTCTCGCCGTCCTTCGTTCCGTCGATCTCTCCTCGTTTCCGAGTGTATCGCTGTTAGCCGTTGGGTTGGCCCATTAAGATCGTCCTCGTCCGCTCGTACCTCGGCGCAATAGGCGTTGTGGATTTCCTCCCATGTGGTAGGGGGATATTTCATGAGGCGGCTTAGCAGCTTCTTGGTTGCCCTCGAACCATCTCTGCTTAGCCCGTTCTGGAAAGCGGCGACTGCCATACCTTCCGATACGTTTGGTAGACTCATCCTTACCCTGTTAAACCTTGCCAGGAAGTCCCTGAGTCCCTCTCCTGTGTTCTGCCTGACGGCGAAGATGTCGTTGACCCTGGCCTCCGCTTTCTTCGCGCCTGCATGGGCTGTGACGAACTTATCCGCCATTTCCTCGAACGTTGATATTGCCTTAGCCGGTAGCTGAGAGTACCATGTTAAGGCCCCTCCTGTCAACGTCTCGCCAAACTTCTTCAGCAGTACCGACGGTACCTGTTCCTTCGATAGGTCGTTGCCCTTCACAGCGGTGACGTAGTAGATCAGATGATCCTCGGGATCTGTGGTTCCATCATATACCCTCAAGTAGGGTGGCATCTTGAAGGTTTTTGGGGTGGAGTGAGGGGCAGCTTCTTCAGTGTATGGTTGTTCAACGAACCTTCCCACGTCGCGTTTTGGTAGCAACTTGGGAGCACCGGGGATCTTGTCGACCCTCTCCTGATGTTCCTTCATCTGACCGCGGAGCGCCTTGTTTTCATTTTCCATTTCTTCCATCTTCTTTAGGATGGCTGTTAGCGTGCCATCGTTGGTCTGTGTCTCGATGGGTTTGTTATTCGCTAGTGTAACTTCCGGTTCGCTCAGGGCAGCAGTGGTACCTACGTTGGTGTACATCCGATGTTACTTTGTGGTGACCTCTCAACCAAGCCACTTAGAGCGCTTGTTAGCCATCTTTCCAGTAGCTCTTTGACTGCTGAGGGTGCTTCCGTAATCGCAGATGTGGAAGCTCCTTTTTCGTGCAAGATCGTCAGACCTTCGGATGGGAAGGTGAGATCTCTGCACCTGGTGTGATGCTAGGGGTTGCATTCAGGATGCCATCGTCACTGGCCTCGTTGAGAGGCCAAGAGGAATTGGTAGTGACTCCAATATAGCTTTCGATCTTGTTATTATTTTTCGGCCTTTTCTGTGTTTTTTGTTTTTGTTGAAGTGTAGAGGGTGGTAGTTGGTTGATCTCTAGGTGGATACTATGGTTTTGATTCTCGAAATCCCACAGACGGCGCCAAATTGTTTGGCTCAAAAGTTAACAATATACTTTGTAAAGCTAAAAAACAATCAAAAGTAGAAAAAGGGTATAATTGTAATCAAATATAATAATCCTAGAGATGCAAAGATGATAATATTGTTGTAGATCTAGTATTGCAAAGAGACAGTATGAACTCAATAAGATACGTTCGTTTGAAGTAGAGATAGAGAGAGAAAGCCAGAAAAATGAGAGAATTGTATTAGATCAGATGCCCCTTTTTACAATGTGAAGGTCTCCTTTATATAATAGGAGACCTTCCTCGAAAGAATCAAAAAGTTACAAAGATAGGTAACGTCTTCCTAGTGAGGACATTGAGTCCTAAACGATGTCGCTCTTGCCCCCACGGCCGAGTCGTACTCGCTACGTTGGCAGGCGTACACTTATTGGGCGTACCTATTGGCGTAGAGATGCTGAGGGTCAAATTTGGCCCTATACAAATATCTTAATAGTTTCAAACAAAATACGATTTAAGTTGTATACATTGAATGGTGTAATTTTTTTACTCTGTAAATAAATTTTAACTTAGAGTATCAGGTTAGTTATCATTTTTATCTGGTTATTATAATTAATGTTTATCGAGATATTTACTGGCACTATATATGACTTAATATTTTTTACACCTCAATGGTAGATTTAAACTATAAAAATAAAATAAAAATTATCGATAACAAAAAAGTATGAAAAGTGATTAACGTATTACTCTTTATGAAATAACTAATAAAATAAAAGGTTCTTGGTCATACATGAGTTTATTTTACTTCAGAAACAAAATAAGAACAATTATTTTATTCAAGTGAGCAACAATGTAAATGCCTCATTCATTTATTTGCTTGATACTAGAAAATATTTTTTTTCTTCATATAACTGATTCTGAACTTGTTTGGAACTGAGGTGTAATTGTTATTGTTGTTGCAGCTTCGGCATGTTATGAAAACACACCCCAAGGTATTATCATAGCAGCAGCAAGTGACCCTCTCTGGAATAATGGTGCAATACGTGGCAAATTTTTTAATGTCACATGCACTGGTCCAACAAATCCAGTGCCACACCCTTGCACTGGCAAGAGTATTGTGGTAAAGATTGTTGATCATTGCCCCGGATGTGGTGGAACTCTAGATCTCCCTAAAGAAGCTTTTTCAACTATTGCTAATCATGTGGCTGGGGTTATTAAGTTCGACTACGTCCAGTAAGTAACGTTTTTTCACATATACATATATTCTATACTCCTTATTAAAAATAATAAATTCAATTTAACTCTTTAACTGCATGTCATATTTGTCACTGAGTACATTGTTCTATGACTTTCAGGACCTCATGAGGACATCAAATATGGCGCATCGAATTCCAATCTATAGTATATTTCGCGTGTCGAAGTATACTCCATATTGAAGTTGATTTGATCAATAAATCACAACGGGATGCATGTACTTGATTAACTCTAAGAATAAAAGTTCGTCGTTTTCTTTTCTCTTTGATCTGTGCTGAAAAATATATTGAGTATGCTTTATCAAGCGCAAGCCTTTTAACATATAATTTTCTTTATTTTTTTTGCATTAATTCCTACCTTGTAAATAACACAATAGGAATCAAATTACAATGGAAGGGGACATAAAAGCCTATACCTCTATGAGAACATAAAGAAATCTGACTAAGTTTAAGAATAGAATAAAAAATACCAGATCTTGATGATCGGATACAAAAGATAATCCGGAAGAGTAACTTTTCGTAACATATATTGATCAAATTAGATACTACTCCTGTCTATATTATCCTTCTTTTAAGATTTTGGCAAACCATGTAATTAAGAAAGATATATAATAATTTATTCATACAAGTTTTTGTCTAAAAAGTAAAAATTTCTTTTTTTTTTAAATCCCGGGTATTTTAAAAAATCATTAGCTGGTTGATTGGCGAACGAGACTTCAACCTTATTGGCGAGGATTCGATTCTCTACCTTGGAATCTCATTACTATAAAAGATCAAAAAAGTAAGAGCTTTCATGGCGACAAACAAAAGGTCATTACAAAAAGTGTTAGTTTTAGTGGTGAACTCCTAGTCACCATAGAAATTGATATTTTTATCATGATCCAAAAATCTCACCGTAGGGGTGGTGATGACACCTAGTTTCTAAGACTAGGCATGTCCATCACATAACAACGCCAATCAGATTATAAAAGCTATAGACTTAATAAAACTGTCAAACGCGGATACAGTAAGTAATTTTCTAATAGCCGATAATACTGAGTGATAAGCTCTACATGAATACATAACAAGTCTCGAATAGTACAATACTCATTGGAGTACATAAACAGTAGAGAATAAGGGTAAAAATGGTGACTCCGAGGTCTGCAAACGGGACAACAGCCTGATCCTAAGGACTTGGATCTATACAAAGAATGTGCAGAAGTATAAGTACCCAGTAAGTATCAAGACTAATCTCGGTGGAGTAGTGACGAGGTTCAAATCAAAACACTCACTAGATAAAAACGGTGCAATATATCAATAGCTAACAACAGAAATTATACAGAAGACAATTATTGTAGTCTCATCAAAACAGACGCTAACAACTTAATACAAGTAAAGGCTCAGTTCCAACAGCAAGTCATTTATTCGAACCGCACACATTTGGCACCTCGTACCTAAGTTATCAATCACTCTCGCATGACAAGACCTCGTGCCACAATATATACCACACTTGCACGATAAAGACCTCGTGCCACAACGTGTATCACACTGTGCCAGTTACCAACAACTTGTTCAAGAGGAACTTATCAAGGATCAAATAAAGTAATGCATGATAACAACTTTCTTTTTATTGCAATCCATTACGCTTCCTACAACTCAACCTAACATGAGATAACAACTTCATGTAGGTAAATTCATCTTGACAACCAAATCATCAAGTAACAACAGAGGCATAGACTGCCAGGTTAGGAACCACGCAATGGATCACGTAAAAATGCATATCACACATAAAGAAGTTATAAGCACAAACAAGAATACCCCTTTTTCACCACCACACAAACATAATCAATACAACTCCCCCAGGCAATCACACAGCATCCCCACAATGCTATCTTTATCTCACCACGTGCGCAACAACAAAGTAAATACCCGCCTTGTCTCGCCACACATGCATTAACAATCATCCCACCTTGTCTCTCCACATATGCAATATCAATATTAACAATAGCACGGCAGAAATCTTGTGCGAACTCCCGAACAATCCGCCCAACAAATCCACATATGTCACAGCATGCTAAAAATTATCACCAAGACATAAATTCACAATCTGCCAGCTCAGTGCACAAGGAAAATTCAATAAGAAAATGTGGATGGGTGTTCAACATATAAGCATTAAAGTTTGTAACAACCTTACAAATGCCAGGCCAACTTGGGCAATTTAGGAAATACGATCCTAAAACATGAACTCTAGCATGGAACATAGACTCAAGTAATTATACAAAGTGAAAAACATGTATTACAGGGATCTCTCAATCAAAACAAGGCAATAAAAGCATTCACGGCCAAATCCAGTCATAAGTCACACATACGCCTGTGTACACACTCGTCATCTCATGTATACGTCGCTTACACATAACACAAAATAAGTGATTAAACCAAATCCTAAGGGACATTTCCTCACACAAGGTTAGACAAGATACTAACCTCAAATTACCCAAATAACCACTCAAAAATAGCTTTTTCTTTAAAATTCACCTCCACTCGGCTCAAATCTAGCCAAAAATGACTTAATAACATCAAACAATGCAAGAGAATTTCATTTTTGTTAATAAAGTTGTGATCTTTGTCCATTTCCAAAAAGTAAACACGGGCCCGCTCGGTCAAAACCCAAGTCAAGGAGTAGATCTCGACTACCCATAACCCCACGAGTCCAAATATATGATTGGTTTTCAAATCCAAGTCCAATTAGACTCTCAAATCTCAAATTTTTATTTTTCAAAACACAATCAAAAATCCCCAAAAATTCTTTCCATATCCATGATTTTTTATGTTAATATCCATAAGAAATCAAGTTAAATTTTTAAAATTGAGTCAAAAGCACTTACTAATAGCTAAATATGAAAATCCCCTCCAAAAAATTACCTCCCAAGAAGACTAGGGCTAAAAATATAATAATATGAGACTAAGTCCTGAAATAACCAGTTATAAACGAGCTGTAAATGTCATATTTGCGACCAGAGGCTCGCAAATACGACAACTGCAAAAGCGACCTCAGGTCCACCAATCCGAAGCCCGACTGCCTCAGCAACTATTGCAAATGCAATAATATGTTTGGATATGTGAACTTCTTCAGCCCAGCAAAATATCGTAAATGCGTACTATTCGCAAATGAGAAATTTCCCCAGGGACAAGCCATCGCAAATGCGATCAAGGGTCTGTATATGCGAACCCAGAGCATGTCACAAATGCGAACCCATCTTCGTAAATGCGAAACTGATCCCCTGGACCAACATCGCACATGCGATAGATTATTCGCAATTGCAAGCCTAGCCTCGCAATGTACGTGACCTGCAGAACCAGCAACACCTGACCATAATAAAAAATGATTCGAAACACGTACGAAACTCACCCGAACCTCTCGGGACCTCGTCTAATCATACCAACAAGTACATAAACCTCATACGAACTCGCTCGCATACGCGAATCATCAAAATAATATTTGGAACCATGAATCGAATACCAAAACGCATAAATATCACTAAGAACTCAAATACTTCTAAAATCACAACAAAACATCTATTTCCTACCAAACCAACTTGGAATGACACCAAACTTTGAACATAACTCACAAATGACCTATTCCAAGTTCCAAAACTGAATTCCAAACCCGATGGTCATAAAGTCAACCCATGGTCAAACTTAGGAAAATTCTAAACCTTCAAATTGCCAACTTTTGACAAAATGAGCCAATCAACCTAGAAACCTCCGAATCTCATTCTGGGCATACGCCTAAATCCAAAATTACCATACGAACCTATTTGAGCCATCAAAATACTGTTCTGGATTGGTTCTCACAAAAGTCAAACCTTGGTCAACTCTTCCAACTTAAAGCTTCCAAATTAAGAATTTCTCTTCCAAATAAACCCTGAACCTCTCAAATACCGAAACCAACTATACACACAAGTCATGATACATCATATGAAGCTACTCAAGACCTCAAACCACCGAACGGAATGCTAAAGCTCACAACGACCGATCGGGTCATTACATTCTCCCCCTTTTAAACAAAAGTTCGTCCTATAACATGCCGAGAGTCGCTCCGGAGTGGTCAAATCACTAAATAAACTCGCCATACACATACCAACGGTGATCTCACATCACCTCAATCCATATAGTCCTAACTATACAACCTAGTGAAGATTCCTTCTTCAATTTTAGTCCATAAACCTTAGAATCCAATATCCAACACCCGAAATTCATTATAAGATCCAAACCTCGCATGTATACACTTTACAATCCTAAAGAAGCTGCATCAAGCCATAAGTATGTTCCAAGATACAATCGCATAATGTACCACTTAACCCATGTACTCATAGTAAATCCTTCTGGCCACAATAGCTGCTCAGTACTAAATTCGGTACCGGTAAATAACCTCATATCAAATAAAACTTTGTTCAAAACTTCACTTTACTATTAAGGATGTAAGAAACATGTAAAACTCATATCCATTCACCCAATCAACAAATCGTGGAGTTCCCTCGCCCGATATAAATTAAAAATATGTAAACCTCATACTTTAAAAAAATTGTTAAGTTTAGATAGTTCGACTCTCATATTCAACCTAAAATATCCCATTATAAACTAATATAACACTACATTCAATATCTTGTCCAGTGGTTCTATATATTCATACAAGATGATTCAAAAATATATTAAAGTGTCACACCTAAAATTTGCACTTGTAATTTAAGGCAACCTTTGAACCCCTTATCACTACAGTTGAAAATTTTGATTCAATCGCTCATATATAATCCAAAAAATAATTATTTCACAGTAAAATTTTCTAGCGGAGGGGATTTAGTTAAAGCCTCATGCCTCTTTTTAGCTCTACCACCGGTCTTATCCGTACTCCCTGAACGTAGAATATCCGAGCGTGATGGCAAAGCAATTCCCGTAACAACCTGTTGTGACTGAAGTAGCTGACTTGGAAGCCAATAAAGCTGCC